ATAGAAGTAATCTGGTGGATCATAGGTTTATTGCTTAGGCAGTCAGTTTACGAAATCCGAATTGGTGGGTTCTCTACGTAATTTGACACGAGTTGGATTAAACTTGCGGCTCCGGGTGGGGCCCTCGTAGCTCAGCTGTCCAGAGTTTTGATTGTATTGAAGCCTTCCCCTGGTAGACATTTCATGAATTCGAAAGTTTCCAGGAAAGCATATCACCTTGTTGCACTTTCCATGAAATATTGTCTCTGTCGACGGTGCTGTACGAACAAAAAATTCCCGGCGGCTACCGGCGTACCGAATCATGTGGTCTGTGTTAATTTGCGCAGATGAGGCAGACGGCGGGTCAGAAAAGCCGTAACTCATAGGCACTGCAAGCAGGGACGAACAAAACTTTCATCGCCTTACTCCGGCTGGGCTGTTCTTTTTTTTCCCCCGAGTCGAGCACTGCTCCTGAGTTTAGCGGTTAGTATCGCCGCAAAATGAGACTCGTATATCCCCGAGGGACAGGGCGTAACGCTTGTGCGCCGCATCCACGTAATTATTAGTATTACCCGACTTTAACCTTATGATGCAACGTATAGTTGAAGATCATCTAACAAACAATTGTCTTATAGCAGCCATGAAAAGTGGTTTGATTCAAAATCAAACGCCGTCTACATTTGGAGAGGTCAAGAGATCGTTTTACGTGAACGCTTTCACTCTACAAGCGAATTCTACTGAAACAGGCTAGTTTTTTCGTTCAAAAGCTCAGCTATCGAGTCTTCTCTAACCATTAGGGAGAGGGGGGTTCCGATAGATTTAACACATTCGTTTAACCCAGTTGTGAAAAACACGGTGCCTCGGTGGGATTCGAACCCAGGCCAGCAAGGGCGAAAAAATCCTCAACCGTCTTACTCGGTCCGAAATTTTGGCTGTTTTTATCGCAAGTCGATCATTGTTCCCGAAATTAGCGGTGAGTATCACCCCAAAATGAGACTCTTGTATCCCCAGGGGGCACGCTGGCCTTACCAGAAGTTTGCATTATTGGGCAACATGTGGTCGAAGATCATCTTATAGGGGTGGTAAAAAAGAGTGATTTAATTTAAGATCAAACTGCCTAAATTTTTAGAGGACAAAAGGATAGAAGGCTGGCTGGCTGGCTGAGTGAATAATTTCTGACAAGTGTAATTAAACTGACAACGCTCAGTGGGGACCTCTAAGCTCTGTTAGCTAGAACGTTGGCTGCATTAAAACCTCCCCCATCATTGAGTTTGGTTCGAATCACACCGAAGCCTGTACCACCGAGTTCTCCTACCTAACTCTGGGAACCACAGCAGACGCGTCTTCGACCGCGTTCCCACCCGCCCTCA